GGGGAGCCTGCAGCCAGCTGTCTGAAGATCGAATCCGACGGATCATCCAGCCTCGGTCCATCCCTCCCATCGCGGTGATTGTGGAGACGGACACTCGCTTCCAGTACGTTCGGAACCGGGCTCGGAAGATATCTACCCTCGGATTCCGAGGCTGGAATTTGGGAACCCGGGGCAGCTGCGTCAGGTTCCGCAGTCATGAATCTTCTATAAGAGAAGAATTTCCCATGCTTTTTCTCGACGCTCAACTGTCTTTGATCGATTTGGCAAGACTTATCTGATAGTCTCCGAATGCTCACGGAGGTTATCGGTGGTGATTCTTCTCGAGCCGCGAGTCGAGACGAATTCAATAAACTGTATCCTCCGCTATTTCATGTACGTTTATCTGTGTACTTGGAAGTGCTTGAGAGGACGGCGACACAGCTTGGAATCGACGGTCGCTGTTATCTCCCTGTGACTGCATTCTGCTGCCTTATCTGTCTTCCATCCGATTTTTTCTCTGATAATATTCATTCTCTGGCAATTACAGAGCCTGCAGGCAGACGAGAGTAGGAAGTTTCCAACAAGCGGATAAAAAACGCTCTGCTTGTTTCAGCCCTTCGGCTGAAGCTTCTGTTCCCGATTTCTCTCGGGCGGTCGAACTCTCCTCTAGTTCAGGCTATCGTAGTCCGCCGTACTCTCAGGCTAGATTCCGGAGAGATTGACTCCGAGGAGAAATTCTCCCCAAATGGAAATTCCGTTAAGAATCAACAATCCTGCTACCCCTCAAAACCGACTTCACGGATTTTCCGACGGAGCCGGCGTCACTTTCCGATTCGTCTGACTTTCCCACCGTCCCTCCGTCGGTGCTTTGGCTAAATAATGTCTTCGGGACCCGGATATTCTGTCAGACACGAGCCGCGTGAATGAACTTCGATACATGTATGCACATCAAAAGCACGAGTTTACGACCCCATATTTAGTTTGGATCCACAACAGCGAGAGAAGTAGCTACGGTCGCATGATATAGTGACACGCTATTCAGGTCAGATGGATTCGAGGCCGTTCATCCTGGCGGCTCGACTGGAAGTCGACAAATACGCGTTGAGAAAAAATGTCATGAAAAATAAACCGGCGAGGGTAAATGTCACCGATACACTGGGCGGGTCCTAGAGACCGAGCCGCGGTCGTAAACGGCATATCAGCAAACGATTAAAGCAGCCCGCGAGGCGCTTCAATCGATTCTCGAGCGCCAATAGATTCTGACACTAATTGAGCGGAATTTCGCGGTCAAGCTTCTTTGTCTACCTTATCGCGACGCTCGACACGATATTGAATACATGCCTCGCTGCGAAGCGCCCGCAGACCGCTGAGAAGAGCCGACGCGAAGACCGACGGCGTCCGAGCTTTACCTACATGACATTCAACAGAACGAATGAGAACATACGTCATGTAGACGTCCGTCTTCATTGATGATGGACTGCAGAGCTGAAGTGAAGCGAAGCTCTCAAATAGATTATAATCCCTGCTGCCACCACCACCTCGATCATCGCCGTCGACATTCATTTAGAAATCAGGGACACGGTGAAAACAACAGAAGAGGATGGAGAGGGAACACACTGAAACATGATTTATCGGAGCTGATATTGACGGCAGCGAGGAGACATCTGGAGATGTATTGTCGATGTTTTTGACAATTCGACCATTCATGGACTTCCGACTGGTGCGGAAAAGACTCACTCGGAGCCACTCTCTCTCTGCTTCGAGCAGGCGCGTACCGGGTGACTACATTTTTCCCGCAGCGGACTGCGTATACCGCGAGCCGCGGAGCATCCCGACGGTAAAACGGAACCGAGGATTTCATCCCTGGAGCCTCTCCGAACTCGAATCTCATCGAGGCTTGCTCATCGGTCGTGATGATTCGGAGAAAGTAGAATACGAGATTACTCGCAGGTCGAACAAAGACTCGCGACTTCACAAGAGTTGCGACTTGCTCAAAGGTTCCGATTCCGCAGGGGACCTGCTTATTCGAAAGACGCTCATCCTTCTCTCGTGGGAGCCCGACTTCAGCTAATTGACCGACAACTTGTACAATAGATTGAGAATTCTCCACGTTGAGAACAAGGCGCATCTGTATCAAAGGATCTCTCGGATTCGCGCGACTCATGCCGGGAATCATTTGGACACCTCGACCTGAGAGTCCTACGGACACCTGACGGCGGTGCATTGTCAAAGAAAAATTCGAGACCGTCGTGGAAATTTAACACCGGTCGTTGCCGTGAAAGTCATTAACTTTGACGCTCATCAAGTGACGATTAAAAGAGATAGGTACTCGAAAGCTTGAGGGATCACACCAGCGCAGAGAAGGGTTCTCCGGTGCAATATCAACGAGGGTTCCGGGCCATGTACTATCGGCAAGTAACAATGAGATCACTTTTCCTGAGAAAAGCTCGAGTTTTATTCGACGTCCACGAACCTTCGCTCGTTCGATTTATACGAAGCCGCATCATGATGCTTTCCGAGGCGTCCATCTCGTTTCCAACGAGAGCAGGCTCCCCTAAATACTTCTTGATGGAAAGAATAATAATTGAGTCGTTCACAAGTTCAGCGAACCAAGCGATGCGGAGAGAGAAATGTAGCGCGAGCTTATGAGTTTTTGCCTCTCGCTCCGGTTTGCTGCCGGCTGAGACGAGGTATAAAATACCACATATCATATTTGTATGCATGGGAACGCCGGACTGGTGCGGATGTAATGCTTGCACCGCGTGTATGTTTGTGGCCGTGCATCGCTTCGCGATCTGCGAACGGATATGGCTCCCGTGGCTGCGAGACGCAAGATCGATGTCTACTCCCCACCGACCGACCGTCCGTCCGTCCGAAAGCTCGGGCAAGTGGGCACCAACACGACGATCAACACCAGTGAGGCAGAGCCTGACCACCAGCCAGCGGACTGGGCGAGTCGTTGCGATACATTCAGCAGAGAATTTCCTGTGTCGGTTTAGGGAGCAGGGGGCTAGCGCCGGGGAAAAAGGGGGAATGGGGTAGGACCGGGGTAGCGAGAAGTAGAGACGGAGCTGAGTTGTGGAATAATTATGCAGTCTGTAAGCTGTTCGGACCCGAGCGCAGGGCGTTGCGCTTGCGTAGACGCTTCGGCAAGCCCCGATTAATCAGCTAATTCTCGCAAAGAGAGGGAAAGCTTTTCCTGGAGATTTCACGGCGAGGGACAGTCCTAGGCGAGACACCGAGAAGGAGCGAAATTGCAAAAGGAAGTAACACCCGGCAGCTGGATATCGCGGGACGAGAGTTTCGCGACGCCGACACGCTAGCTGCCACACGCTAGACGACAACGACGACGACATGTCGACGAGACGCTTTCACGAGCAACGGAGAGCGACGTCGTCGACTACGACGAAGACGACCACGACGAACTAGCGAGGAGACGGAGCAAAGAAAAGAGCAGACGGTATCGTCGCTCCAACGCGGTTTCGGAAGACTCGGTCGGAGCAAGAGGTTTCAGACATCCATGTGAGGACCGGGGAGGTATCAACGGAGCCGCTGTGTTCGAGAGAATAGAGCAGAGCCGAGCGAAATCGAGTAGGTCTTATGAGCGCTCAGGGTGGCCGAGGGTCCTGGATCCCGAGTTCTCGGAGGAAGTGAAGGGTTGGATATGAGAAGAAAAGAGGGGATTCTCTCCTCTCTACGAAGCGACTCCCACTGGGTGAGTAATGGCTCCGGAATTAAAAACTTCGTAACGACTCACTGCTGAGTGTGACGGGTGTTGTTTCGCCGCCCTCCAGCCCCTCACCCTATCTTGGTTCGCTGTCGGTCGTCTCGGAAATACTTTGCCGCAGAGGGCAGAGCGTCGTAAAAGGGAGCAAAAACATCTCTGCTGCTCTCGTCGTTGCGAGCACGAGAGAAGTTTGAAATCTTAATTTTTTCTCGGGATCACGGTCCGGGTGACGCGAACCACCCTGTAGTAGCTCCATGGAGTATTTTCCGCTAGTTCCGGGATTAAGCCGCATCGCGGCGGAGAAGGTCGTCTCGAAAGAGGAATAAGCGTATGGTGGGTCCAGAAACGAGAGGATACCGCGGTCCGGGAGCATCAGCAGCAGCGAGCTGGGATTAGACGCAGGGACACATGGGCGAGAAGCGGAGCATCACGCGGTGCATATCAAATCGCGGAAATTGTCTTGCCTTGCTCGTGACCTCCTGCTTCTCATTATGGCTTGATAAGAGGTCATCTTGACATGGCGTTGGTACCGATCAGGAAGATGGCCCATGATTAGAGCCTTCTGCGTACCATGAGTATTAAGCACGAGTGTTACTCTCTGTCCCTGACACGCTCAATTGAGCCGTCGACGGAGAGAGTGCAGCTACACCTCACGTCTTCCGCTCCAGAGATATGCACGAACGCCTCGCCTCAAGTTCCCTCCACTCCCACCGTCCCCCGTTACTCAAGTTTCAAGATATCATGCAGCGAATATTTTTACAGACCGCAAAACCAATGGGCTCGATCCGCTCAGACTGGCGCAGGATACTCCCTGGTTCAGATTGACTCATAGAAAAATTGGATTCTAATAATAATTGGACCGGGATCCCGGACGATGGAGTTTCCGAGAAAAGCCCGATCGGGTGTGAGGATGATTCCAGCCAAATAAGTTTATCGAAAAGTTCGCACCTTGCCTGTCGTCATCGGGTCTCGTGTAAATAATTCACTCCTCAAGTCTTCCAACGCACCTTCCGTAATAAGATACATACTTCCTAGGAGTTTGGTCGATGCCGAGGACGCTCAATGATATTACCCTGTGAACGGTCGGCGCAAAGAGCAGACTACGCTGAGGATTCGTTACTAGCGGTCTTGTCCCCAGATGGGGAACCGAAGCGAAAGAAGCACAGGAGTAATAAAGAAGCTTGATATGGGGACAGGAAACGGCTCATACGTCGATGAATCTGCGAGGAGCATATCCCTATGGATTCCGTTGACAATGAACCATACTGGAATGAGATGAACATGGGTCTTGGGAGAGATAAAAATGTTATTTATTATTTACAATAAGGCACCTTCCCAGATAGGAGTAGGTACGCATCGTATGCCGTTTCTAGCAGCGTCCGTTCCGCGCTATCTCTACCACATAGCACTGAGATGCGCGAAACGTTTTTGAGTGGTTTCGCTGACAACTTTCCGATCGAGACCATCCCTCGGGACAATGAGACATTTGATTTACTACAGAAGCTCGTCACCGCCAAACGCAAATATACAACAATTCTCCTACTCTCCCAGCTTCAGGCTCGATCAGGGGGCATTCTTCCGGCTGATCGGCGCTCACAAGCTTGAGCCCCCCATCGATATGCAGCCACAAAGATGAACATTGTTCCTCCCGATGGACACCATAAATATATGCTTGAATTAGAGACACTACTACTGTACGACTTCTATGATGGCTCGCACGGTCTTCTGGTCACAAGGGAGATTTTTCTGAAGGAATGGCCGTTCGCTTTCCTGCACTTGAATCTAGTGCCAGCCCAAGAGGGCATGCGTGAAGAGAAGCCAGCCCGTCGCAATCGTTGTCGTCACGATCATCACGGGGAATCCGACCCTGGAAGGCAGAACTTCGAGAGTTACGAAAAAGGGGCGCAAAAGCGGGGCTCGCTGCCCTGTCTCGACTCGACGAGAAAACACGAAATCTTTGCGGGAGAGCTCGAAAAATGAGAACGATATAGATAAATTTAGTCTTCAGACCTGAAGAAATCCATGAACGTGAAACGATATCCGTGATGTTCAGCCACACCAGCGCATACGACATTCGCAGACGCGCCTATAAGGGTTCCGTTTCCACCGAAGCAGGCTCCAAAAGCGAGAGCGTAGATAAGAGGCTGCACGGGAAGATTGAGACCTTCGGACTCACCTGGAAGCAGAAAGGAATCTAAACGTAAGGGGGGAGGAACCGGAAAGGAATGACATGCTTGAGTTAGTGTCTGCGCACACCGGGGGCCCCGAAAACACTCGGTCGGAGTCAGGAATCGCTCAGTGGAAGAATTAATCGAAGACGCTTGTGTACAACTTCGTGTCCATCCGCGAGAGAAACGGTATCGTCGAAGCATGCAGGGGAAGCCTCTCATGGGAAAAACAATGTCCTTCACGGCGAATTCCAACGTCTCGAAGCCTCGCCTCGCTACCCCCAATGCGGTGGAAACTTCGGTGAAGTATGCAATTCTCGTCCACGAGTCAACAGTCAAGCATTAACAACTCCGAGCCGCCATTGTTCGCTGCTCGTGCATTCGTGAAGGCCATGGCGTTCTCATCGGACCTTCACGTAAAGTAGTTAAGGCTGCGTTCGCGGCACGCCAACCGTCATCAGGCACGCCAACAGGGAAAGAACGTATAATCGTCGTTCCTGCATGCGTGACATTCTCTCGCGAGACTCTAAACAGTTGAGCGCCCAAACAAGAATGATTCCGTGAATGTCTCCTCCAAGTAGCGCCCAAAGTGTTTCCAGGGCACTTAGCGAAGCTGGCGGATTCGTCCTGGGGGAGCTTCGAATGTCGCACGCGGAATGATTGCGCCTTCGAGAGGAGCCTTTTCACGCGCTTCAAGCACGCGTCAGATGCAGAACTATGGTGACCTATCGGGACGACGATTTCAATGCGCTATCCTGTGCTTGCTGCTCCGAGATCGTCAGTTTCAACCATGGCTGCTAGGATAGTTCGCACGAAAACATGGAGACGGGCAGACAACTCGACCACCCGTGGGTTCACAACCTGTTCCTTTTCCGAGTCTACGCGCGGAATAAAGTCGGAACTCCCAAACAGAGTTCTATTCATGTGCCGTATCGAGCCCCATCCAGCTCGAAACATGTAAAGCAAGGCTAGAACCGCAGGGGGTCCCCGAAAACCTGGAGTTGCCCATGACTCTCATCATGGCTAAGATCAGCATTATCCTTGCTTACCCAGTGCGGCAACGATTTTCACCATGACAGTCGTGAACGGAATGTTGTCGATGAAGCACGAAGCAAATGCGGACACCCAGGTTATGATTATTATGCCTACGACCAGACGATGCTCCTCGTTCACCGCGAGTATCCATTTTTCAGTCTGATTGCCGATGAATTGTAGGAGACCCAACTCCGTCAAGGCTTCCATGACGACGAAGAGAGCTGCGAAGAACAGCAAAGTCGTCCATTCGACTCGGCCGAAAATTCCCTCAAGCTCGTCGGTGTCGGCCAATACCAGCAGGGCAAGTGCTCCGTAAATGGCAATCCAACCTGAAATCGGAGAGTGGGATTAGAGTTCCGTTCGCTGCGTTCTGATTCGAAAGTCACGGGACGCTTTTCAATACTCACCGAGGCTCAGGTTGAGGTCCGGGATAGACTGTATGAAGAACAAAATGATCACGACAGTGAGGACGATTCCGCTTTTGATCAGAAGAGGCCAGTTCCGGATCTTGTACTGAAATTGCAGCAGAATAAAATGGAATCCGAATTCACTTCAGCTCTGAAGTTGTTCTGTCAACGTCCCTCCGCTGATCGAAATTTCCGTTCCAGCGCTTTATTGGATTCCTCTACTCGGAGCGCAGACACTCACTTTGGCACTAAGCTGTTCCAGGTTGTGCTTGAAGTCATCTCTTGAAGGACTGCTCGATTCGACTAGTTTCTTGCGATAGATCGTCTTCAGATTCTTGACTTTCTTCTTGAGTATGGTGCGTACGTAGCTCTCGTCTCTCGAGTATTCAGATAGGGAGCGGCACGCTTTCTGCCATATATCGATTTCATGTTGAATTTCGACGACCTAGAAAAGAGATGTTTGCCATCAATCTTCTCGCTGTTCGATGAGCTCTGACACCATGTTGCTTTCAATCGGAAGGAATCGAATTCGGTAGAATGGATCCGATTCGAGAATGAAGAAACGGGCTCGTTCTTGATTGGTAGAAAGAATGAGAGGAGGAAACCCGAAAGCGATACGAGAGGAGCAAGAGATGATCTCGGAGAGATCTCGTGCCAATCACCGACCTCTTGCGGCTGCTGGTGTCGAAGGCTCGACTCGTCTCTGTAGAACACTCTCAGGAAAATGTACGCGCCGATTGCGCTGAGGGCCACTCCTGGTAGTAGATGTAGCGTGAAGGTCGTGAAATTTATTCCACCTGAAAGTATTGAAGGAACGTTCCAATCGTAGACTCGAATGGATGTTCTCTCTGACGTATGATGAGATATATATAAGACGATGAAAAGATAAGATAATAAGATGAGACGATGAAAACCGGAGGCGCGCGCTTCACGCTACCAGCGTTGGGCAGCGCTGAACTCGAGATTGTCTGTATTCCGATAATGCCCCCGATAAGTTCGATTCGGGACGGGAAATGAATTGACGCGAATAGGAAGGCATAGAGCCGAAGGAATTCCGGAGTTTCACTCACTTAGGAGAACCTTCGCGTTCGAAATGATGATGACGTTGGGAGGATCCCCGATTGGGGTCGCAGCTCCTCCGAGATTTGAAAATATCACCAGGGTTATAAGGACCTTCCTCGGATCTAAATTCATAACTTCGCAGAGCCTGAAAACAGCAGGAAAGTAAATATGAGGCGGAAGAGTAGGAACCCTAACACTTATACAAATCATTCCGCGGGAGCTCGGCAGATAAAAAATCGTGTTCCAAGAATTGCTCGCCCTATCTCAGACAGGGAATTATGACAAACGGCGGTAATGAAAGTGAGCGGATCGCTCCCCTACCACAGCCGAACGAGTAACATTCAGGCTCGTGTGATTGGGTTTTGCGATCCCATATGACTCGGACTCGGCGTGCCTGATTCTTCATGAACTCTATGACGCCGTGAGCTCGGGAATGCCCGTAATAAAATCATGGACTGAAGTTCAGTGCAAAGATTCTCACTTTATGGTGACGGCCGTCATCAAGAGTATGGTTGTTACGTTGTCGAGGAATGCAGAGATCACAGCGGTGAAGAGGCACAATGTCGTTATCATTGGCCATACGTTGCCTCTGGCAACTCTGAATGCCAGGACGGCCATGTAATCGAAGAAGCCCGTTTCGCACAGGATAGCCACGATCACCATCATACCTGTACGGTGGAGAGAACGAATATTTAGCAGAAACTCGATTTCCCCCTGAAATTTAATTGGAGCTGCCGGTGTTCGATCACTCGACCGATCCCGAGCGCTGAGGGGCGAACGAGCCAGAGATCGGGAAGGAAAAAACGTAATTGACTCACCAAACAAAAGGCACAGGGTCTCGACGTCGAGCCACGAAACAACCTTCTTCAAGTCGGGCCGATCCCCGGTCAGCGCCAGACACGAGATCGCAGCAGTGGCGCCTGGGGAAAACAGATAATCACTATTTGCTCTCCATTTTCCAATCGATTGGAAGCTTAAATTCTGCCGCGACGTGCGTGCACGGCCCGCAGATTCTTTGCACGTGATCGTTCTGTTTTGTCAGCAGCGGATAGTCGAGAGCGATTCTCGGAGAGCGCTGCTGTTCGCACCAACTCCCGCCGACGTTGTCGAACACCCGGATGACGTCCGTCATCGGAATGAACGCCTTGCCGAATCCACCTATCGAGCAGCATCTTCCGAAACGAATAATTCCCTCCATATTCAAGACCGACTGGTGAACTCACCGATCATAGCAGCGAGAGTTCGGTGGCACAGTTCGAAGATGATGAGCACGTATAATCCAACGAGCACCACGGCTGCCATGATGAGTGATATCTGGGTGAACTCCGTGAAAGGATTCACGAGCATGCTGACGGAGATTTGTCCTTTGAGTTTTCGGGCCTGTACCAGGATTTCAAGGTTGCCGCCATTTTCAAGGAGTTCCGTGACCGGTATGCGGAACGAATGCTCGATTGTGGACTGATGTACCTGCGGACCGGTCGTAGGCGGCGCCGTCGGAACTCTGCGGGAAATAATTCAAGTCAAGCTCGCCTCCGGGGACCCAACTTCATCAATATCATCATTGCTGCCCATCAGAAACTCTTGAAGCATATACGAGTGTCCGACCGAGATCGATTGACAGAGGGATGGCATCGGAAATGAACTCACACCAACGGCTCGTGGCCTTGTATGACTTCATGTCCACCGTCTGGAAATCTTCGCACAAGAGCGAATACCGTGTCCACATTGCTCAGATTGCTTAAACTCTGCGGGAGGAACGGTCCGGTGGCCTGGAGCCTCAGGATCGGATATGTGGGACTGAGTTGCCGCCTCAGGCTTAGGAAGTACGGCTGTTCATCGCTCAAAGAGAAATTGATCCAGTCGTGGTCGGGTTCTTCTGCGACGCTCATTACAATCTGGAATTTCACCGTATGGAATTTGTTAGCAACCCCGAACGATGGACTCAATGAGAAGCTTGAGGGGATTCCCCGATCAATCGGAACCTACCACTGCGAAAACCACAGTCGACGTGAGGAGCGAAACCTTGAAAAGGTTGCCCCAATTTTTGAACTTGCTCGTTTCTTTCGCTGAAGCCTTGTCCGACAACATGACACTCTGGTATGAGGCGTCGTCGTGCGGACTCGACAGTACCGTCGAAGCGTTCGAGGAGGCTCGAGGCCTATCATCAACTGCAAAAAATCATTCGGTGAGAAGCGAGCGATGGAGAAAGTCGACTAATCGTAGGAAAAGTCGTGATTGCCACTGTTTTGCGAGGTTCGGCTATCGTTATGGAAAATGCTCTGGGTACGCTCCAAGTTAGTGCGTCAAGGTACCGCCGGCAATGACTGCGGGCGAGCTCGACTCGATTCCGATCACTGGGTGTGGAGGAGAGTAATAATTCGAAAACGGTCGATCGGTGTACCGTCGAGCTTACCTTTCACCTTCAGCAATGGTGTGGTCTCTGAGGGTAATTGCAGATACTCCGTGGGCACCGGAGTTGTCGAGAGAAACCCTCTAGTATCACTGATTCTCGAGTAATCGCGGTTGGAGGCACTTCGGCGGTATGACCGATAATTCGCGTTTGAGCAATCCTCGTCACTAAAAATAGACCAAGAGCTTACGATTATGCCTCGTACATGTTGCATACGATGTCAGCCGACGAACACAATGAGATCGTCCCAACATTCTTGAAGATCCGTCACTCCCGAGAGCTCTCTGCTCTGATGCCTCAGATTCAGCTGACCCTCGAGAAATGCTCACCTTGACGTAGCCAGGCTGTCGCTCATACAAATACAGACTTCAGAGAGGCTATCGTCTAGGACAGTCATATTGGTTTTGAGAGCTTTACAAACTCGTCACCAAGAAAAAGTCTTTTCTGCTTCTGCCTGTCCTCACAAACCCTTCACTTAACACAAATGTCTTCGGTCACAATCTTCAGAGACATCTTCTGTGGCTTTCATGAGATGGTACTCTTTATATACGCTCGGGAGGCGTAACACAACACAATGCCTCTGACGGAATCAATCCTTCCCTCTCCTCCAAACATCGAGTCATATGCACGCACTTCTTAGAATTCTTCGCGTTGGTGTTCTGCACCAGTTAGTCAAGACGATCTCGACCCGCGCGGGATATCTCATCGAATCCCTCTGAAGATCTCGACCTCAATGATATGACGAGGTTGGCGATGACGCATCGGGTACACGGCGAGATAAGCCGGGCGCGAGCCTCGCCGCGTGCTGCACCGGCGGGAGGCTATTACCCCGAAACCCAGCATTCTGATTGAAATTCCCGTCTTCTGATCGAGATCTCATAATCTCTCTGTCTGAGGGTCCAAACAGCATAAGCGTCTCACCTTTCCTCGTTCACATCGAGATTCGCATTCTCGGTTTCGTTTCGGACTGAGTAGCCCTACTCTGGACTCTGGCAAATGGACACATAGGATGCCGAATCGAAGCAGAAGGCCATCCTCCGATTCACTGTCATCAAGCTAAAAGCAGGGAGAAGCGATCTTGCCGATGAAATCGAATCATTCAGTTGAACACTTCGTTTGGATGGACTGTCTGATAAAGACTGTCTTGCGAATCGAGCATGTCTTCGCTCAGTATAAACAGCAACGGGATATTTCCCGTAAAGTACGACCTAGCAACAGTTCAAGGCAGTCTTTCTGCCGCTGCAGAAAAATCTGCCGGATTCTTAGACTTCTTCTAAACCAGTCATTTTTGGCGGATTTTTTTCCGGATCGGACCTGCTAAGATCTCGAGTCTCTTCTCCGCGTAGCCGAACCCCACACGTCAAGACTTGGATGTTGTATTTCGATGCTGGAGCCCTAAGTTGAAACATACGTAGGTATCCTCTATTGGATCCTAAATTACTCTTTTGGAGATACTCACGGATCCGGCGCGTCAGACCCGCTACTTTCGTAGCCCGAGTGGAGCAATTGACCGCTTTGAGTGAGAGATGATTCTCCTGTCTGTTTCCGTCGGAAGTTTCTGATCCCTCTTTCTTCTCCGTCTATCGAAGGCTCGCTCGACATGTTGCTATCTTCGAAACGGGTCAGTTTGAGATGGGGGGTTTCTCTGAGTTCTTGCTGCAAAGAATGAACGGTGTTTGAGGTCACGAAAAAGGTTCAGGAGCAATCCGAACGTAACTCGGATCCCCACGCAACTAATGGGGAGAAATCTCTTAGTCCGTCTATCTAGCGTGAGGCACGTTCTTGTAACGAACACGAGCTTCCGAAGATACGAAAACAAACTGATTTTACGGGATCCAGACTCAATTCCGTCTCGGGCTCTCCACGACTTCTCTGTATCCACTCACTACGCTCCGGGAAGTCCAACTCCGGATTGGAGCGGAAATGCAATCATCGATCCGCGCGTGACAACAACAAGAGACAATACCGCAACAGAGCTTCTGACTCGCTTCTCGGAAAGCGAAACAAGTTCTCTCTGTGTTCTCGAGCGGATTCTGGAAGGCGGCTCGTAAGAAGAAAAGTCGTACCAAGGCACGGAACGGGACCGAATTTCAGTTCGATCTGTGAGAACCCGCATGGCGAGCTCGTTCAGGAAATCGAGTTCTGTTGGCACGTCATCAGGGATACTCTTCGCTTCGGACTACACTGCTAGAACTCCGACTTTGGCGTCATGAATACTTAAGCTGACCAGCTCACGGGTCGGGGCCACCCATCACTCCTCTGCGGCACAATTATAGAAAACCTCATTTACGTGAATCACAGACGCAGTGTCGCATGACCTCTTCGATTTCCGGCCAAGCCGGGAGATTTTAAAGATATCGAAAATACTTCTGCGAGTAATAGTGGGAGCCTGTTGCCGTCCTCGATTCGTTGACCGGGAGCTCGAACGAATGACGTATGATTCATAAATACAGAGTCGAGGGCGCACGGATTATCCGGAAAGTATCTGCATATTATTCACTTCAGCTACGGTTGGTTCGGCCTCTTTCCGAAGACGTCGATATTTCTCGCATACTCAAGATCGAATCATAAACCAGGCTTCGATTTGTTTTGCGGCCTCGGGAGTAGATTCGGTCGCGGAGGAACAATCGCCTTCCCCTATGACCTGAACCCCGAAGCCTTCGCTCAATGGGGAAAAAAAGCGTGAGAGGAGATCATGGACTCCCGCAGAGATCTCGGTGGTGTCGCCGTAGCATCACAGCTTCTACCACGCGAAATTTCACAGTGAGAGCAACTTCGCTTGGTATTCTCTCGCTTCCGGTTTTCATCTCGAAGACTTTCAAAGTGGACCATTGTATACTCGAAGAGGTCTGTCTAAGAGCGGTACTTAGATATCTCTTGTTCGTAGATCAGCCAAGGATTGGCTTTAGTCCTTCGATTGTCCGCATTACACTGCTCTCTGGTACTCGAACAGCTCTCTCGAGTTGCCTCACAATTTCGGACGGCGCATGTTTCTGCTCACAGTTTTCAGCGACGCGAGACGTTGATTGGGGTTCTCTCCGAGCTATTCCAGAGCAAGAAACGAGACTTGCTTACTCAAAGTGAACTCACAACGAAACTCCGAGCTACTTCAACCATGAAATTCGTTGCTGATTGTTCGACCGTTCGCTGCACACCAGAAGTTGCGGACATTCCCTCGTCCTCGGAACCTTCATCAGGATTCTTCAAGTACTGGGAGGCGGCCGTGTCCGCTTGCATCAGTGGACAGAAAACACTCAGATCGGAGCTTGAGGACACGTTCGAGGTCGGAGGATGGATGTCCACCGTCACTTTAGAAGTCATTCTGTCGCCACTCATTTCCCGGAGTTGCCGGCGGGGGTTGAGATTCAAGTTTCCTCGGTCACTTCGAACATAATATTCCTCGCTCGATCACCAATCATGAACAGCTGTTTTCCCGAGCTTCCACTTTACTCTCATTAGATCACTTTTCCGGCCGGCCTGTCCCACGAGCATCCAATGAATGTGGACCTGCCTCGCTTGTCCAAAAAGACAGTTAGGTGGGTAGGAAAGCCGACCTATCATCGAACACTCGATACATAATCCCCTCCGTAGCAGACGCATTCGAAACTCAGTAAACACGAAATCGATTCAAGTCGCAAGTGTTCGAACTTGGTGCGCGTCGCGAGTTTGCCGGCCGGCGTCCCCATGAGCTCTGCCTTGGAATAGTACACCATGGAATTCCATTTTCAGACGTCTGAATAGGTCTTGAAGAGGCAGGTGGCTTCATGGGAATTTACGCTCCGAGCATCAAGCCGCCTGTATGATACAAGAAAACGGCCAGTTCTGTGCTATTGAGGACCTTCCCGCGATCGTTCCAAATCACTGAAAGAAAAACCTAAGACAAACACTTCCTCTTCATGTCTGGTCGCGGGGGTGAGGCCCGCAGGAAACGGAGGGCCCTTCTCGAAGAAGAAGCTCTTCAAGTCGCGAGGATACGATGTGTAGGTTCTCATCCGTTCTCGCTGGCGGTACGGTTGGTTAATTATTCAACTGCGTTGAATCATGTGAGGAGCGAACTAATGGATTCGTTCCTTCTTCGGAACGGGATGACCCTCGCTTACTCGATGAGATCGGTGGCGGGAGAGAAGAAAGCCCCTATTAATCAAACTTCTCATGCACTCATGGATGGTTTTTTTTTGTGATTTTCGGTGAATCGAGTCTGATCGGGCTTTGAACGTTTACCCGTCTCTCCGTTCATTGGTCCGCACGATTCTGGTAGGAGGGTCGATGGGATATGGAAATTCACATACGTATTCCCAATCCACTTTAAATCGGTCGGTTCCGAAAGCTACGATCCACGGAGTCAATCGGCATAGGTTCCTTTAAGACCCGCAACGATTTCGCTCCCGGTTTGCTGAGTCACTGAAGGTCTTGTGACGTACGTAAACTTTTAGCCTACCTACGTAAGGCTCGGCTGACGTGATTCGTGATTGCGGCGCTCGCTTGAGGGTTTCCGCCGTAGAGTCCGTGCTATTTGCATCCGTAGAGCGGACGTCATTGGATTTGATCGCGAGCGATCAAAGGATACTGAAATCGATTCGAGTAATTACCCACGTCCGATCTATACTTTCAGATTCCTCTTAATTTCATTCCCGTCCTATGAAAGATAGGACGTCGAAATCGACGCTCGAGGCTCTAGTCCGAGCTCACTTCCCCCGGATTGGATCGATCAGAAGCTACGGCTGTGGTGGTACTTAATCGAGAATTTGACAAATCGAAAGAGCGAGCAAAGCTGCCGGTCCAACAAGACGAAGCGGTAGGCTTTTATCTGGCACCTGATTGTAGGAACGAAACTTAGTCAACAGGTCTATCCGCGCCCCATCGGGAGGCAGAGCTGTCGAGCGGTGTGTCTTGTTTCGATTTGACCGCCAAGTACTACTGTTCGGTGGCTTGGCGTAAGATCATGTATCGCGCAATCGTTTTAGTGGTCAGTCGTTATTTCCATAAGTCGGAAATCGACTCCTGACGCGGTGGAGCGTCGCCCCCGATAAGGGAACGGAGTCCGGAGAGCAGCTATGTGATCCATGCTACGGCCCCTTAACCGTAGGTGAGACGACTTCCGACTGCTTTATTCAAGAGCCTTCAGCCATCGGAGTGAGTCGCGTTGTATCTATCAGCGCGGAAGGGAACAGGAAGAATAAATACGGGTATCGGAAAAAAGACGACAAAAACAACGCGGGTGGAAGCAACAGCAAACTCCCGAGAACGGACGTTTTCCTGTGTCGCCAATCTGGGAATGTTTCCCGCGGTGTGTTTGCGACCTTCAGGCCGACGTTTCAAGTCCAAAAGGAGATCCGACTCCCACGCGCGAGCTGAGGATACCGATCGTTGGGATGGAATCAATCGAATCAAAACACGAGGTCCCTCGCCGCCCACTCGTCCCGGCTTTCGTGACAGAGACTCTCCCGAGAATAACTGCGAATATCAGCTGACTCCTCGTCGACGCGGACGCGCAGCCGTACACGGAGAGTCGATTCCTTCATAATCCGATGAAGAAATCCGACTCCATTTTCCGAGCGGCAATTCCAGAGCAGGCTTCTTCGAAATTCCAGCCGCTTGACTCAGTCTGTCAGGTGCACCTCAGGAACGCCGTACAGGGAGAGTTTGAAGTCGAGCAGTCGAGCTTAACAGCAAGCTCGACGTTCTATTCCTGCTGACTGCAGCATGAACTAGATGTGACTCAAGTCTGGGAAAGTTTTAGGAGCGGCGGAAACTTGCTGTGGGACGCTCAGTTTTCATTCCAATGTCTATTTCGAATATTTCCCACAACTTTAGGCCTCCGGTCCGAGTCACAGAAAGTATCTCCTCTCGAAAATCGGGCAGATCCAAGAACACGAGATCATACGAGCTGCGGGATCCTAGATTGCATATAATCACAAAATAGCTGTGATTGGGCCTGAAGATCTCTCTGCGGGGTCCTGCTCACTCACCAAATCAATATCCTGGATGCTGAATGGCTTACATTTGCGCATGAGTGTTGCCTGCGCACGGAGTTTGTGACAACCCAAAATCGTTTCAATACTTCTCCCAGTCTCGAATTTCAACCGGAATGTTTCCTCGGAGGGATTCACGGCGCGCCCCACTTGGTAAGGTCCTCGAGTGGGCACGATTGAAACTTGATTTCAATGCACACAACCTTCGCGGAGCTGCGCGTTCACGCGTGACACTCGTGCTTTGGAGTGATTTCGACGAATAATTCCCGGGAGCCAACATCTGTAACCTGAGCCGCGAGTGGAACTCTCGCCAAGGGTGGAGAATACCCACTACAGACCCGATTCTGGAATCGGTCGGAGTTTGAAACTACTCCCACCTAGGAGCGCTCCGGATCCTCCCGGGGCAAAGAGCAAGCATAGCGAATGGAACTGGGGAAACAGAAAATCTTCGACATTGGAATAAGCCCAGGGAGGGGGTTCTCGTTCGGCTACGTGACCGACTCGGAGTGAAACACGCCGTACTGTCTACGAAAGTTCCCTTCTTTTTCTTCGTCATATCGCCTCGGTGGAGAGATTACTTGCTCGATTAGGCACGGCGGGACATCTGAACCAGTGTTGGAAAGTAGATATATTAGACAGATTGAGAACGTGGCCACTGTCGCCCAAATGATTTCGAGTTACACGAGAATAAGGCGCGGATGACCTTCCAACTCGAAGACGCTTTTATTTAACGCTCCCGCGGGACAGATGTTATTTACATCCATTATCACACTTTTTTTTCTCCTATTCTTTTGCAAGGTCTATTATCTGGACCTATTGTTAGATCTCACTTATCGTCTTACCGAGTCTGGATATTGCCCAGTCTGACCCCAGGGTCCGAACTCGAAGAAGCTTATGCTGGAGGTATACATTGTAGATACAGCGAGTTTACAGTGTGAGCGCGGCAATTATTTTGCATTTTTCGTACAGTTCCAGAGAGCTTGTCCTCCAGACTCTCTTTCTGAGCTGCGAGCGGGCATTCATCTCTGACCAGATCGCTTGTCATGAACACACAATCGGTATGAGCCGTAGAAGCCAGGAACATTTGTGCTTGATCACAGCGAGCTACAGCGAATGCAAGGCTCAAACGGGTATAATCACAGCTCGTACAGGAGGTGCCTCCTCAAACATTTCGGCAGCATGTCTAGCTTGGGAACATTCTCTATGACCTCCCTGGCGTTCGTTCCGAGAAGCTTCCGCAATTTGCTGCGGCATTGCTGTCGCAGAGTCTGCGGAGTGGAAGCTGTTTGCAAGAGAAGTGAACGCACGTCGGGTTTGAGCACATTCGAACGACGAACGACATTGCTGCTCCAGTTCTGCTCACTGCATTCGCACACCAGGTTCACGACTTCGGGATAGTCTTGTACGTTCTGAATGGTTTTCAAGATTCCGAGTTCATTCTGCGTCTGTGGAATTCAAGAGGAAAAACTTCCATTGAGCAGGAGGTACACATTGGTGTCTAAGGTAGGCGATTTCTGACTGGCAGACCTTTAGGGACTTGCGCTCCGGAGCCTTTTTTAATAATTACCAAATCAGGAGGACTATCATACAAGTAATTGGAGGAGAAAAGTTGATTGAGGAGCGTTGGGATTTGGAACCGGAAATGAAGGAACAGGAGGTAGGTAGCGGAACCTATACGTTGAGAGAATCGAACCTGGGAACCAATGGTCTGCTCACCTGAAGAGTCATCACGACCTTGGCTCCGTATTTCAGCAAGAGCCTCACTATATCCTCCCGGGGTCGATGAGCTCGGAATTCATCGGTTGACAGAAAATATTCGCCGATCGGAGGCTTCAGGAAAGGCTTGCCCTCTTCTGTGTAAGTGATAGAGTTGGGATCGGCGCCGTTTTCCAGGAGAAGCTTCACGATCTCCTTGGAGTTATCGGAGTGTTCCGATAAGGCGATGTGCAACGGCGACCCGATCACGGGCGATCCAGTGTTGATGTCTGCTCCCCAATCGAGCAGTAATTGAATCAGTTCGATATTCGCCCTGAAAGAAGAAATTCATCAATCCTTGCTGGCACTTCCGCAAACACCATATCGACTAGTCTTCTGCTGCAGCACTCCATCTCCTTATCGCAGTTTCCTGCCATGTCTTTATCTTCCGTTTTCGCTTGCTTGCCCGCTTGCTCGTTCGTCCGCTTGTCGGCCGGCCGCGCGGACGCCCCCACCCCATACCCCCTCCCCCGTCGACGCGCGAGAGAGCCCCGGGCGGGAAGTTTCGCTCCACGGGAATTTCTCATCCCGACCATAGTCATTGTCGACGCGCCCGCTTCGGTGAATCAAAATCAGCGCTTCTGGAACATCGACCGATCGCGCAGTCTGTGCTAGTCCTGCATATAATACGAACCTCAGAACAGAAAAGTCGAGAGGAGTGGGATGCGCATAACCTGGATCCATGTTCACTTTGGCGCCTTTTGAGAGCACGAGTTTGACTATGTCCTTGTTCGATGACAGGACCGCGTAGTGCAGCACTGTTCGGAAGTCATGTCGTGCGCCTGCCATGGCATTCACGTCCGCACCATAACGCACGAGCAGCTCCGCGGCATCGTAACCTTGGAAATCAAGCGAACAAGGCTTTTAACGCAGACTTTGAGGCTCATTTTTCCTGACTGAGCGGAATAGATGAAGCAGTGCGAAAGATTCCAGCCAAAAGTCGAGGAGGTCGGTATCTTCCGAAACATAGTAGATATACGTGTTGTATATCCAGGTTTGGATTGGGCTCCTTCATGCGACGAAATAATTCCGTCGATGCGCGCCACGGGACCTCTCACGGGAATTCCACACTCGAGAGGTCCTCGGGGAGATATAATTGCTAATTATCTTACACACGTTTATCACGAGGAGGGCTCCTCTGAGGATTCGTGGACTGGGAAGTCGAGGCTCACCCTGAGGATGTCTGCAGGCTTTCATCAGTGGAGTCAGTCCACTCCGATCTTTGGAGTTCGGATCACCCCCGTAGCGCAGCAGCAACTCCAGATACGAGATGGCCAAGGGTGAAATGAGGTTCATTTCAGATCCAAGGAAATATCTAAAATTGTATTATTTTGAGTAAAACAGCTGTGACGACGGCTAGTCTCGAGAAATTGCCTCGCTACTCATCCTGGAGCCGGAAGCGTCAAATAGATTGGGAGGACGAGAAACACAAGAGATCTCGGGGAGCGCACCGACCAAACAGCCACGAATAGTGCACTCGAGCCGGGATCGCCGCAGAGAAAAACGAGTTAAGAAGTGTTCACACCCACGCACACGCTCTCAGAGAAGGCTCACACGTTCACACTGAAACGCAACCTGTGTAATGGGAACCGAGGTTTTCGGTGCAGCTCGATTCGCCAGTCGTGACATCTTTTCGTCTCCTTCGTCTCCTGGTGTTGTGTATGGTCTCGCGTAGTGTTCTGGCGCGACATATCTTGCGTCTCCTGCCGCGGAACCAGACGACTGCGGTGAAGATTCGACGGCGCATAGACGCCAGAAGCGATTAGACGATCGACGCTTTCAGGCCTGAAGGCTACTAATAACAACACATACCTCGCGTTAGGATTCGCGCCATGCTTCAGTAGCAGTTCGGCCATCTCGAAGTGATCGTTCCGAATTGCGATGCGTAAAGGTTCGTCGGCCATCGTTACTCGGGGAGGATTGCCGTAGTAAGTTCGACCTTCCGTATCGACGTCGGTGAAACACACTCGAGCCCCATAGCTCATCAGCAGCTCCGCGAGTTCGAGGAATCCTTTTTCGGCGCAGAGATGAAGTGCCGTATATCCAACGTCGTCCATCGCGTCCACTTGGCAGCCTGCGTTGGAGGACGTGAGAGTAGCTTCGAGTGAAGAGAAAAAATATCCGCGATACGTTCGATAAGAGCTGCCGGGAAAAAAGGCCCTTGCGGAGGGCAACACCTCTCGCTAGGCTCTCTGTCACTTCATCGAAAGGGAGGTCGTGTCGCGGCCACCGACACGATCGAACTAACCCCGGAGTAGGAGGAATTCCACCGCTAGCTGGTACTGTTGATAAATCGCGTAGTGGATCGGCCGCAAGCCCTGTGCCACCGGCTCGTTGACTTGCGCCCCTAAAGCCAGAAGCACTCTTATATCTTCTAGAGGAGCACATCGTATAAGGGAGTCGGCCAGCTCCCTCTGAAGCATCCGTCGGAAGTAGGTTCGCCGTTCCGCTTGAGGAATGCTTTCCATTCTGGAATAGAACCGGAGACTTATATAAGGCTTTTTCCGGCGGCGATCTCTCACAGTATCTCAATTCTAACGTGACTGGATTACTGATAAAAAATATGTCTTCGACAGGCCCCGAGAGTGATTCGGTCACAGCGAATGGGACTGGAAATATTCGAGTACCGCGAAGCGTTTCTTTGACAATTTCGCGCACGGGAGACTAGGTAGAGCGATGCTCGAATTTGTCTGGAGCCCGAGGGGCCTTGAGCGTCGGCATCAATTTTCGTTTGTTTGTGCGCGCACGGTCAAACCCCCTGGGATAGGTCGATGATCTCGTTTTCTCTCCCAGCCCATGCGCCCAGGTTATCCAGACGCTCCCGAGCATCTACATACAACGTATGCTCCCAGAACCGTGCGGTCTATTTGGTTCCACTGTTTTGAAATTTTCCCTTTCGGTTACGGGCGATTCCCGGAACGACCAATTTTGCGCCAACAGACCAACCCTCTCACATGGTGAGCTTTTCCCCTTTCAGTTTCCTTCCACGTAAACGTCTCCAGGCTCCGACCAGCGTATCACTTGCTCGACGCGTCGACTTGCTCGCCTTCCATCACCCACAATCTCACTCCTGTGAGGAAGTCTCTTGGGGAACGAAAGGGTGCGTAAAGGAGAGATGACGGCTCTCAATTCTAAAGAAAACTATTCCCACCCGTCTCTTCGCCGGCGCGAATTCTCTTTGTCCTCGCTCTCTGATCATGACGGTCATCATGGACCCACTCCAGAAGAACGTCGGTCGTCTCCTCGTTCCTCTAGGGATAGGACGTTCGTGAACTCGAGGACACGACGCAAATATTGTCCTGCGAATGAATCATCAACGTCGTCGGCGGCCTCGAGTATCGCCTAGCGCTGTGAGACGTCTGAGCCACCTCGCTACTTCGACGCTATACTCGTCAGATGCGTAGTCTGAGCTCATGACGCAATCAGCAGTCGTCGCCCTCTGATGGTTCCCGCGAGACTGCGATTTTCTGGAGCGCGTTTCAAATCGAATGAATATTCATCAAAGGGAATCTTAAGGCGCAAACAAGCGAATTTTTTCTCTGACAACCGAGAGGCTCATGGTTTCCTTATTATCATGACATTAGATTTCAATCGGAGCATTTGAAGAATCATCGACAGGTCGGCGTCAAACGACAACCCGATATATTTCTGCGGACACCGACCGCGCATCGAAACGCCGGCGCCGTCAGTTAGGGAAGCGACGCCATCCGATTCTTCCGAGTTGTTTTCCAGCGATGCGTTAGCTCGTTGCTGTCAGCTCGGGCACCGTCCCATATCTACGAGAAGAGGCCGACTGCTCTGTAAACTCAACGCTTTCATTGATTCGATGAGAGCAAGCTCGTGACGATAGAAGATTTCGATCCCTAGCGAGGCAGTTGCCTCCTCGGATTGCAGCGAGTGCGTAGTTCAGCTGCTGGTCGGTATTGCCTGGTCGTTATCCGAACGATCAACAGAAGAGCTAGTGGCCGACGGGCTCGCATGACTTACTCCGAGCTCAGGAGTTCACTTCATTGAACTTCGATAGAACTCACCTCGATCGCGGGCCAGCTCACGCAGCTATCCGATCCTCGTTGTTCACTTCCAAAGCGGAATCAAGTCAGGCAGTCGTTTTCTGCTGAAAATCCTACAAGAAACTGTTATCAAACAAGACGCCCTGGGCCTATTTATAGTCCTGGCGAGGGATTAGGCTGCGACTCGCTCTCAGGCGAGTTCGCATCGGGTAGAGCCACCACTCGGGTGCGATTTGCCGGCTTTCCACAAATTTCGAACAGAGATTTCTCTGCGGAATCCCTGCTCGGATTTCAGATTGCTCCCAATGCTCCACTGAGCTATGAATGGAGCTTCCTTTGAACATAAGAAATTCCGCGGCTTCGGTCATGCCAGTGTTTAGTGCGCAGGTGCTCGGGCGTAGAGTCTGGAAGTCGCTTCACTGTTCTCGCGCAGAATCTTGCGACTGAGTATCACGTGCCGCTTCTTTGAAACGGGTTCTAGTCTTGAACGCTCGTCGACAGAGCAGATATGAGCGCTCGCATGACCTGCGTTCACTGATTCCCGCCTCTCTTCAGTGATATAGAGGATTTCAATGCTCCGCCGATCCCCACACGGAAGTTCCGATGAATTCGGCAGACAATTATTCATATCAGCTCGACTGTAATCTATAATGAGCACCGAGTAGAAGCTCAAGGACCAAAACTTCATCATCTCCAATCCATGTTTGACTGCAAGGATTCCGCAAAAGTTTCTCTGGTCCCCAACTGAACCCGCGGACCTGTGTATCTCTTCATAGATAGGATGTTGCAGGAATCCGGCTAAGTTTTTGCACGGCGCTTCATTCTCGAGCTTGCGAAACACTCCATACAGCCAGATAATCGAGGATCCGACACCGGGCTCAAGCTCCGGATCGATATCCATGGCGCGTGGCGCGTCTCGTATGGCCTTGATTGGGATTTTGCGACGACAGCTCCGCAGTCAGTGCGAGAAAACGCTCTCAAGACCGAAGCCTCACCGCTTTCCTGCCAGTTCGGCGGAACGACTCTCCGAAACGGCACAGTACGAGAATACGCAGAACCTCTCAACTGTTGTGACACGCACTGCTCCTTTCCTTCTCTGTTTTCCACGAGTGAGCGCTCAAACGGCGTGTCATTGACCCTCTCATCGCAACTTCTCTGCGTGCATGAGGCCTGAAGCTTCTTGTTGAGGATCATTACTCCTGAATCTTCCTCGCGGAATATCGATCGCGTATACGATTTCTCGTGCGTCTTTGCCTGCAACCCTATCCACCATTCGACCCGGGACAGAGTCGCAAGAAAATATCTATTGGAAACGCCCACGATTCGCGAGGCTTTGCACATCGATTTTCCTCGATCGACGACGATGAAACCCGGAGCTCGACGAAGTCGCATCGAGCATCGTTGCTCCTTCTTCGGATTACAACTCTGTCCGAGTTTTCGGTTTGACGGGGGATGCGGAGACGTCCTGAATAAGAGCAAACTGTAACCGCCAGAACGCTTAGATGAATCAGCTGTGAGTCTCGAGTCCCGACAGCCACTTCAGACAAACGCTCTTCACTCTCTCGTATTATTGTAGAGGTACACGTGACGCAGCGCTGTACGACTCGGCTCAACGCGGTCCGAGCTCTCAGAACAGTTCTCTATGACCGGCTTTGCGCAATCGAGACTGCAAGGTGCTTCAGAGCGATGCACGTACTTTGTAGAAGCGATTTCGCGGCTACACAGAGCGAATTCAAGTGAACAAACGACGCGACGTCCGAGACTCGGGATCCGTCTTTTACAGTGTTCCACAGTAGGAGACTTTCGATGCTTTTCCCGCGCTCCCTTATCATTGATTTTCGTGGCAGCGTGATTTTCTGACGGATTCGATTTTTTTTATATGCACGACCTTCGCCTTGCAAAAGTTTCCACTGAGAACGGTACGAGACTCAGTTCGCTACACTTTCTCGGGAATCAGTAGAGAGGTAGACGACGGTCGGTGCTCGTCCTGATTGTCACTGAGATTTCGAACACTCGGTGGCTTATCGTGCATCGCCTCGCGAGAGTCGTGACCAGAGTTCATTGCGCTGTAATTAGCTCAATAAGACACTCGCTCGGTTGTTAAACCTATGCGTAGTTTACCGTCGTCCAGCTCAATCTGTAGGGGCGCGTGATAAGTGAGATCGCAACCTACCGAAATCTCGTCTACAAAATTGCAAGGAGCTCGCTCGGAGAGCCTTTTCGCCCACCTACTCTCAATTGAAATCTTCTTCGACCAGAGTGCTCATCCGTCTTCCACACGGAATCTTCCGCCAGCTCCACAGAGCGAAGCCGAGTTTGATTTTAGAAAGTCAATTCAAGGGAAGGACCGATAAGTTCGCCGATTCGTCGAAGCGGGGCTCTGAAGTTTCTTTCGGAGCACATTTCAATTCCAAGTTCGTATTTTCGGTGTTCGAACGACCTCGCGGATGTCGAGATCAGAGCCCCTGGGATGAGCCGATTGATTTCGCCGCTCACCGAGAAACATTCACGGGGAGCACGCATTTCCTATTGCCTGCATAGATCGCTTATTCATAAATGCATATAATGCTCTGGAATCAGGACGACAGAAACCGATCTGGGAATCTGGACGAGCAGAGTACAAATATTCGTCGCAGCAAGCCAGAGTCGGAATTCGGAGCTCGTTCGCCGAACTTTGGAGCCACACGCTCGTTCCGAAAATTCGTTTCATCTTGTCCGAGCGGACAACTTCATTCCGCTTCCTTTGAGAATTGGTCTCTGCTGATCATTAGATAGCTTTTCCTGCAATCGAATTTCAATCTTGCTCCGCATCGATCCTAGCACACTGAAGTGTGCTATGCCCGTACTTGTCTCATCGTAAAATCAATGTCTCTCCATGTCAATGTTCCTCCACGGCCCGGCGACATCTTCTCGGGACTGCAGGGTTTCGGAGGTTCTTCACCGATCCAAGATTGAGTTCCTCCCTTCCGTTCTCAGAAAAGTATAGCCACCAGAGTGGGATCGACGCATTCACAAGCACTCGCTTTTCGAATTCCGAACGATTCTGGCCTCAATTCTACCGCGCGGCCTTGTCCTGCAGACTGATTGAGCGAAGAGCCAAGGACTCGCTCGCTCAGCTTTGGACATCGTTTGGGAAGCGATGAGCCGCGAAATGTCTCTGTCCCGTTGGGAATCGACGTTTCTGGCGGGAATTTTCGTCGTACAACAATTTTCATCCAGGGCAATATGGGATAATCATATGAAAACGAAGCAATCTCAGGATTGCGCCAGATTACAACTCTTGCTGCTCCCTCTGTATCAGGGACGGATATACGCGAACACTGAACGTACTTCATTGTGTGGCTGACATTTCGCGAATTCTGAGGATCCATCCCTTATCGATCAAATCACAAGAACACTCGAAGTCAATCGCTCCTCTTCGCTCTCTGTTCGGAAAGCTGATCGGTCGAGTAGGTGAA